GGGGGTACTGGCACGGCTAGTAAAAAGACCTGGTTCCCCCAGACTTTATGCTCATGCTGATAATCAGTATGAGAGAGCGGGACTCTCCCCGAAATCACAGCCTAGAGAGACAAATAACAAACATTGCAGCTTCCTAACAACAATCCTGGGCTCAGGGTGAGGTCCCAGCCAGGTACAGAACTGCTCAAATGTTGAATGTGGAGGGGAGAGAATATTTACAGGCTCTATGTCCAGCAAAGGACAAATGCCTAGAACACACAAAGAACTCACAAAGCTCGGGCTGCAGAGATGGCTCAGTGGGTAAAGAGTTTATTGCATAAGCACAAGGACTAGATTAGGGATCCCAAGAACCTGCTGGGTATGGCAGCACACATCTGTAAAGCTAGCACTGGAGTGGTAGAGACAAGAACCCTAGGCTCACTGGCCAGTCAGTCTCACCGAAATAGCAAGCTCCAGGTTCAATGAGAGACCTGGGCTCAAAAAGTAAGGTGGTGAACAACAGAGGACGACTCCCTCCATAGGTACACATACAGGCAGGCATGCCTGCACACACGCACATATACCCCTCCCCCAACTTCACAAAGTTCAACATTATTAGACTGACGTGCTACCTACTGTGCTAACAAGGCACCTACAAAGTTCAACATTAAAGAAATAAACAGGCTGGGTATGGTAGCACATGCCTATAATACCAACTTGGGAAGGGTAGGTAGGAGAATTAGGTGTTCAGCACCATCCTTGACTACATAGTGAGTTCAAGGCTGGCTTGGACTATACACAACCCCATCTCAGACAGACAAACAAACAAACAAAGGGCAAAAACACTCGTGATAAGCACATAAGATATTTAACACTGAGCTAGCTGTGGTGGCATAAGCCTGTGATCTTGCCCTGGAAAGGTAAGAGGATTGAGAGCTGAGACCTGTCTATCCCAAAAAACAAAAACTGGGGCTGAAGAGATGGCTCAGCAGTTAAGAACACTAACCGTTCTTGCATAAGACCGGGATTCGAATCCCAGCACCCACATGGCAGCTAACAACTGTCTATAACTCCAGTTCCAGGGGATCCAATAGCCACTTCTGTTCTCCGTGGGCATTCATTGCACTACACAGGTGCGCTTACCTACATGTAGGCAATATACTCATACACATAAAAGTTAAAACAAAAAAACAAAAAACTGAAAAGATGGTCAACATTATCAACACCCCCCATGGGATAATACCACAAACATCAGAACAATTGAAAAACAATAGAGAAACTGAACTCCTTACTACCGTTGTCAGAAAAAAAAGTAGTACAGTGGGGGCCAGGGTGCTAGAGAGATGGCTCAGCAGATCAGGACTTGTGGTGCTCTTGCAGGGAATCTGAGTTCAGTACCTAGCACTCCATATGGTGATTTATACCTGCCTGGAACTCCAAGTACAGGGGATACGACTTTTGGCCTCTTCACACACATACATTAATTAATAAAACAAAATATTGGGGCTGGAGAGGTGGTCAACGTGTTAAGAACTCTTCCAGAGGACCCAGTTTTGACTCCCAGGACCCAGATGGGGGTCCTGTCACCCTCTTTAGACCTTCAAAGGCACTACACACATACCAGTAAACAAACTGGTAATCAAAGCTGGGGATGGTGGTGCACACCTTTAATCCTAGCATTTGAGAGGCAGATCTCTGGCTAGCATGGTCCACCTAGGGAGTTCCAGGCCAGCTGGGCCATACAAAGACCCTATCTCAAAGCTGCCGCACCACCCCCCAAAATGGTACCATCACCACCCAGGAAACTAATTTTTCAGTTTCTTTTGTTTTGCTTTTACAGATCATAGCCCATGCTGTGCCCAATTGTTAGGATTACAGGTTTGTGCTACCATACCCACCTCTCAGCTTCTTAAAAACCTACACATGCAATTACTACACAATTGTACTCTTGGAGACTCATCTCCAGGAAATCAAAATTTATATCCCCAGAAACTTTACTCATGAACATGCACAGCAGCTTTATTTGTAAGAGCCCAAAGCTGAAATCAGTCGTGTTTTTCCATGGCTAATGGTTACGTTGTGGGGCTCTCATGCCATGGAACACTACTCATCAATGAAAAAGAGCAAAGTACTGACACACTTGGATGACGTCCCAGGGGATTATGCTGACCAAAACCATCAATCACTGGGCTGGGGAGATGGCTTAGTCAGCAAAGCACTTGCCTCACAAGAGAGAGGACCTACGTTTGGATCTTTAGAACCGTGCAAATAAGCTGGGCCTGGTGTTGCTCGTAATCCCAGGGATGGCAAGAAACTCGACGGTCACCTAGCTTAATCTACCTGGGGGAGTTCTAGGGCCAATGACAGACATTGTCTCAATAAAGATCTGGAAGGTGCCTGAGGACCTACACTGGAGTCTGTCCCCTAACCTAGATACCCAAATGCATACATGTGCTGATACACACACACACACACACACACACACACACACACACACACCAATCACTACATTTTTCTGTTGCAGTCTGCATATGGTTTGAGGGTCCTGTGCTGGGTGCTTGGTCCCCAGGGTAGATTACCCCACTACTGGAGGTGGTGGGACCTTTAAGAAGGGGAGCCTGGGGCTGGACAGACAATTCAGTAGTTAAGAGCACCGGCTGCAGAGGACCTGAGTTTGGTTCCCAGGACCCACAGAGCAGTTAACAATCACCTGTAACTCCAGTTCCAGGGGTTCTGACATCCTCTTCTGGCCTCTGTGGACACTGCACACATATGATGTACTCACACACAGAGAGGCAAAACACTCATACACATAAAATCAATCAATCAATCAATCAATCAACCAATCAATCTATCTATCTATCTATCTATCTATCTATCTATCTATCTATCTATATATATATATTTTTTTTTTTTTTTTTTTTAAACTGGAGAACAGTGAGAAGAGAGAGAGATGACAGCTACTGTTCTGGTTATAGTACTAAGACAGGGATTGTACCTCACAGATGCATTTGACTCTGAAATCATTTGACTTTTAAAATGTGGGGGAGGGGAGGAGCTGGTAAGATGGCTCACTGAGTAAAGGTACTTGCTACCAAGGATGTTACTGGATTCCAATCCCTGGGACCCACATGGTGGCAAGAACTGGCTCCTGCAGGCTGTCTTCTGAACTCCACATTCATGCCATAACACATGGGCATCCCCTGCCCCCCACACAAAATAAAAAAAACTTTTTAGCTGGGTGTAGTGGTGCATGCCTTTAATCCCAGCACTCGGGAGGCAGAGGCAGGAGGATCTCTGTGAGTTAGAGGCCAGCCTGGTCTCCACAGTGAATCTAGGCCAGCTGGGGCTACAGGGAAACCCTGTCTCAAAAGGACCTAAAAAAAAAAAAAAATTCCTATTTTCTTTACAAAATTACAGAATAAAATATGCTTAATTCATCCAACTTATATTTGTTTTTCTTTTACATTCAAATCTCTCACTTAGCTTCTGATACTGATAAAGAACAAACTAACATTTAACAATCCAGCTAATGTATTAAGTACTTTCTGTATATATTTCTTTTTTTTTCCTGTAGTGCTGGGGATTGAACCCAGGGCCTCATGCATGCTAAGCACAGGTTCTGCCACTGAACTCCACCCCTGCACCCCCTCCCCCAAAAAAAAAAAAAACAAAAAAAACCCAACTTTTAAGAAAGTTTATATATATGCGTATATGCTTGCATGAATTTATGGGCACCATATGTGTGCAGGTGATAGGAGGCCAGAGGAGGGTATCACATCCCCTGGAGTTACAGGTGATTGTGAGCCATCTAATGTGGGTGCTGGGAACCAAATCTGGGTCCTTTGCAAAAGCAGTGAGCACTCTTTAACTTCTGACTTCTGCATACTGTCCTCACTTCCACACTTGTGCCATGGCACATGCACATACTCTCACACAAACACACTAAATAAAATGGAATTAGAAATTTTTTTATGCTATATAGGGGCCAGGAGATGGCTGAGTAGGTAAAGTGTTTGCCATACAACCAAGATGATCCAAGTTCAGATCTCCAGAACCCACACCCACGTAAAAAGCCTGGTGCCACCAGTGCATGAATGTAACCCCAGTGTTGGGGAGACAGAGACAGGTGGATCCTTGGAGCTCACTGGCTGGCTGGTCTAGGCTAATACAAGAGTTCTAGGTCGAGAGAGACCCGCATTTAAAAAATAAAGGGAGACCAGGTGAGGTGGGCCACACCTTTAATCCCGGTACTTGGAGATGGATCTCTGTGAGTTTGAGGCCAGCTTGGTCTCCATAGCCAGCTCCAGGCCAGCTGGGGCTACAGGGAGATCCTGTCTCAAAAAAGACACCCCCCACACACTCAAAAAAAAGGTGAAGGGTAGAGGGGCTGGAGATGGCTTAGGGGTTAAAAGCACTGACTGCTCTTGGAGAGGACCCAGGTTCTGACCTCCATAGGCACTGCATGACACGGGTGCACTAGCACACAATGCAGGCAATACACTCAATGCATTTAAAAAAAAAAAAAAGGTGGAGTGATTGAAAGACTCCTAATGTCAACGTCTGACCTCCACAGGCACGCATGAGTGCATACATCCACATATACCACACACAAACCAATGGATATGTGAAGAGTCCCAAGCTTTCCACTGTACTCTGCCAGCAATATTCAGCAAATTCTATTTTACAGTTATTAATCCCCAGTCCTGACCACAGTGCGAGACAGGTACTGCTTCTGTTTTGTGAACAATGAAAAGAAACATTAAGCTCCCAGCATTTCTATCCCATAGAGCCTCTGTGATATGAGGGCCACTTTCGACTCGACCAAATGACAGAAAAAAAAAAAATACCCAGCCCAGAAAACAAATACATTTATATGTCTGTACATTTATACATATGCAAATACACAGAGATCTAGGACACCCAGACTGCTACTAGATATGACTTTTTGGGGTGATGAAATATCCACCCTGGTCTATTTTATTATTTTTTTTTAATGAAAAAATAAAGCAAACACTTACTGCATTCATAGATCTGTTCCAGTTTATCCACAGAAGAAAGGGAGAAAAATTTATAACCGGACTTACTACCAACAGCTAGGGACCTGCAAAAAAGTCAAATGCAGAAATAAGAGCTGATGTGTGTAGAGAGGACAAGGCATAAACCAGCTCCCACCACACCCATCAGGACCAGAGATTTTACCAGAAATCAGCGTGGTCCCAGTAGCCACACAGGGCCTGTACCAAGGGCAAGGCAGAGGATGCTACAAGCCCAGTGGGATGAAGCTGGACCATGTTCTTATTTGACACTTGGAAAATGTATTCTGTAAACCCTAAGGCAGGGTCTCTATAATTAACAAGGTAACCCTATTGTTAATGGACTCAGACAACCTAAGGATATTAGATGGTTACTTTCTGTATGAGTGTGCATGTTGGTGTGTGTAGATGCAGGTAGGTGAATGCCACAAACTCATGTGGAGGTCAGGGGACCTCAGGTGTTAGTCCTTACCTTTCCACCCTATTTGACACAGGGTCTCATTATCATGTGTGTGCCAGGCTAGCTGACCTGTTTCAGGGATTCTCTTGCCTACCTCTGCTCTCCCCATAGAGACACTGGGATCACAATTGCGTGCTACCACGCCTGGCTCTACATGGGTTCTGGGGTTCATGATTCTCGTGCTTGCACAGCAAGAGCTTTGCCCCCAAGCCATTTCCCCATACTCATGTAATTCATATGTATACTGAGGCATTGTGTTGTAGACCTTAAAAATATCCAATTTTACTTGTTAGTTACCTCTCGATAAAACCAGGGAAAGACTAAAAATAAAAATAGTAAAAACAAACAAAACCTTATAAACGCTAAGGGAAAGTATGAGAACCTAAATAGAGCTGGCAGCTGTCAATCACTGACTCCCTGAAGACATGAAGGGCTTCTCAGGAGCACCTAAGCCTGCAAGTTCAGCAAGCCAGAACTGCATTCCACATTTTGAACACAGTATTCACAACCTGGGTGGGCTTGTCCTTCAGTGCGGCCCTTCACTGTGTCTCTGCCACTCAGGCTATGTTGTAGACAAGTGGTGGGGTGAAAATGATAGAACCAAAAGCTCTTTAGAGCCTGCCAGCAGAAGACCACGTTTCTGTTGGTTTACATGGAGGAGAGATGAGCCCCTTTGATGGCCTATGCTTGACAGGCCATGTTCACCACCAACTTCCTGCTTTGGCTAAAAGGCTCAGAGCACAGACACACCAAATTGAGGGTTCCTGACCCGAAAACGACCTTGCTCCAGAACATAGGTGACCAGGGAAGCAGGAACAAGCAGAGAAGAGGCAAGAGCAGGAAGTGGCGAGGCAGGAAGACTCAGGCACTACAGCAGCTTCTGATTTTTAAGCTTTGGAAGACTGAAAACAGGGCAGACAGAGGGTCAGGAAGCTGGAGGACAGACTTCTCACCCTACCCCAGGGCAGAGTACAGGCCTACTTTAACATGTCCTCCAGGAAAGGACTGAGATTTCCAACCCCTCCTACACAGATAAGCGGAATAGACCCCTAGAAGCCTGGCATGGTAGTCCATACCTGTTAGCCCGGCACTCCTGGGGAGGCAGAGGCAGGCAGATCTCCAAGTTGGAGGCCCTCACAGGCTACTTGAGGTCAGTCAGGGCTACATTAAGTGAGAGTCTGCCTCAAAGCAATAATAAAAGAAACAAAAGATTTTCTAAGAAGGATAAAAATAAAATCTTATCAGCTTACAACTTTTTTTTTTTTTTTTTTTTTGATCTTTTTGAGACAGGGTCTCCCTGTAGCCCCAGCTGACCTGAACTCACTATGTAGACCAGGCTGTCTCACAAAGATGCACCTGCCTCTGACTCTCAAGTGCTGGGATTAAAGGCATGCGCTACCATGCCCGGCTTAGCTCACAACTTTTTATTAGTATTTCCAAGATAACTTAGGTTTGCTTTTTAATCTCCCCTCTACCCCCACTATTTCTGCGTTTAAAAAACAACCAACCAGGCTGGGCGTGGTGGTGCACGCCTGTAACTCCAGCACTTGGAAGGTGGAGGCAGGAGGATCAGGAGTTCTAGGCCAGTCCAACCTCTGCCTCTCCCCCTCAAAAAACCTCAAAATAAACAACTTGGAGGCAGAAGCAGGTGGATCTCTACAAGATAGAGGCCACCCTGGTTCACATTGTGACTTCCAGGTGGGCTGTGACTAGGGAGTCCCTGTCAAAAAACAACCAACAAAAAGACAAAAAAACAAAAAAACAAACAAAAAAAAAAAAGCGGGGCATGGTGGTGCAGGCCTTTAATCCCAGCACTCAGGAGGCATAGGCAGGCGGATCTCTGTGAGTTCAAGGTCAGCCTGGTCTACATAGTGAGTTCCAGGACAGCTGGGGCTACAAGGAGACCCTGTCTCAAAAAAGACAAAAACTCAGAAAGAAAAAAAAGACAAAAAAAAGTTAACATAGGGCTAGGGGTGCAGCTCAGAGGTAGAGCATTTGCCCAGCATGTAGAAAGTTCTGGGTCCAATCCCCAGCACTTCAAAAAACAAAGTTAACATCGTGAAATTTTTTCAGTGACAAAAGGGAAAATTAGCAGCTACAACTAGCAAAAATGGGCAGGGGACATCCTTATAATCCCAGCACCTGGAAAGTGAGACAGAAAGACCTCCAGTTCCTCCACTGTATAAAGAGACCCTGGTTTCTTAACTGCTTAGCCATCTCACCAGCCCAGGAGCCCCCATCTTTAAATGATGTCTCTGCTACTGAATTTAAACCTGACACATCTAAAGTCATTTCTACCTCACTTTGAGAACATGCCCTCAGCTTCCCAATCAGTCCATAAAGGCCTTCATCTGTCATTATCTTCCCCACAAAAGTCATACTTGGTTATGAGGGTAAGTGGGACAAGCCACCCCTATAAACAGGAAGCATCCTGTTCCGTGACTGCAGCAACCTGGCAAGACTTGTGTCCTTACTTAGGACCACTGTCATGCCAAACTCATAGAGAGCCCAGCCTCCAACTCAGATCTCTACATCTCCACCCCAGACCTGTACCAGGATCCAAAGCAGAGCCCTTTCCTTCATTCATTTTTATAGTTACCACCCAGAAAGGGAATTAGCTTGTCCTTGAGAGCATCCTGTGGCCCCTTGGGTCACTGCCAACCGAACTGTCCTCTGCAGTGATCCTATACGCCTCAGCCATCTCCTCCGCACGGTGGGCAGAGGGACCTCCAAGTTGAGGCTGAAGCAGTCTTGGAAACCATCTTCCATTTACAGGTGAGGGAAGTGAGAGAGTGGTACCTTCCAGAATGGTTGGTTCTATCACCTGGAAACGGGGGAAGCAATCAATACCTTCAGACCCTTCATAATGTCAGCATAGGAGGACAGTCCCTTTCTTTACTCTAGCACTCTGGGAAAGGCCACCTCTCTGACTTCCCACAATCCACTGGAGAAACTGAGCTCCTGATGTTTCCATGTCAGAATCCAGTGATCCTCTGTCACTCATTCACTGGTGAAGTTCGACCTGGAAAAACCCGACAACCATCCCACATAAACCTTGCACTCTGCCACTTTGGGAAACTGGGGTGGGAACTAACCAGGCTAAGGCTCTTCCTGGCCTTTTCCTCGCTCTAGTTTAAAAACAAACAAAAAATAGATGGTAAGAAGCAATTTAAATCAAATATAAGTCACTTTTAGGATAAGAATCATGAAGAAAAAATATTTAAATCACAAGAAGATTGGTATGGTTTGATGTACACTAAATGTGTTGCTGAGCATTTAAGGGAGCAAATGAAGTTACTACAAAACGTACGTGTGCACCAGTAACTACAGTGGCCTCCACAAGCCCCTCAGCATGATGAACCGATTCCACAAATTTCTTTCCCTTGCTAAAAATTGCACTGCTCTTAAAAAAAAATTGAGTATGTGTGATAGATGTGTTTGTGCCCATGAATGAGAATACAAGTACATGTATGTATCTGTGTATATGGAGGCTAGAGGTCAATGCTGAGTGTCTTTATCATGCTTCATCCTGTTTTTGAGTCAGGGTCTCTTACTGAACCTAGAGATCACGAATTGGCTAGACTGGCTGGCCACAGGGAGCTCTGGGATCAGCCTATCTCTGGCAGAAATCCCAACTCAGTGCTGGGGTTACAGATGCACACCATGCCTGGTTTTTGCATGGGTGCTGAGGATACCAATTCAGGTCCTTCCTCATGCTTACGTAGCAGGCACTCCAGTGAATGGGTCATTCATTCCACAGCCTTGTATTCGTTCCTCTTAATATAAATTTTGGAGTCGGGCATGGTGGCGCACACCTGCACTCAGGAGGCAGAGGCAGGAGGATCTCTGTTAGTTCAAGGCCAGACTGATCTACATTAAAAAAAAAATTTTTTTTTGGCTGTGTATGGTGCTCTACTCATGTAACTCCAACACTTGGGAAATGGAGGCAGGAGGATCAAGAATTCAAAGCTGAGATCCTATCCCTAAATAAATAAACAAGTTAATTCTGGAGTCAGGAAGGGAGACCAAGCTAAAAGCATAAAGCTGAAGCCTTCCATGGGAACTTTCTTTTCTTTTTAAGACAGGGTCTCACTATGCAGCCCGAGCTAGCCTCGAGCAGGCTATGTAGATTAGACTGGCCTAAAACTCAAGAGATCTGCCTGCATATCTGTTGGGATTAAAGACATGTGCCACCGAATCTAGCCCTTAGGAACTTTTCTTTTACCTGTAGCTTTAAAACCAATTCCACAGTCACATCAACCCACTGAACTTTCAGTATAGATCTAATTTGGAATTCCCTCCAACTTAAGCTTCTTTGTTTCAAGGTCTGTTTGGCAAGTCCAAATTACAACACAGAAAGCCTCGTTTTGAACCAGCAACTTCATGGCTGAGAAATGGGTGGCAGTGAAAAACTTTTACACAGACTAGAATGACACTCTTATACAGGGAACTCAGGAGCCCATGTAAAATAATAACTTTTTTTTTTTTTTTGAGACAGGGTCTCCCTGTTGCTCCAGCTGGTCTGGAACTCACTACATAGACCAGGCTGGCCTTCTCAATGTCCACCTGCCTCAGTCTTACAGGTGCGGGGATTAAAGATGTATGTCACCATGCCCATCTCTTTCCTATTTTTAAATCAGAAAAGGCTGAAATAAACATAGAAACGGCTTGGAAAGATCTCTGATTTCAGACAAGGTATAAATTCTTATGGTGCTACCATTGCCCACTGGACCTGAAATAACTAAGGGCTTAGAAATCAAATCACTACTGGCATGAAACTTCTTCCTCCCGGTATACCTGCACCTGAAACTGCAACAGGTTGTCCCTAACAGTTTTTTTGGTACTGATTTTAGGGCACATACAACACCGCAGTAGTTAGCAGCTTTAACTTTTGTGTCTGTGTGTCAGACTGCATGTGTACCAATGTGTGTATATGTGTGTGGAGGCTAGGGGTTTATGTCAGGTGTTTTCTTTAATTGCCCTCTGCTTTATTTACTGAGGCAGGGTCTCTCCCTCACCCCAGAACTCACTGATTGGGCTAGTCTAGCTAGCCAGGTTGCCTCAGAGATGCTGTCTCCACCTCCTGCATGCTAGGATTATAGGTGGTGGCTTGACTTTTATGTGGGTGCAAGGGACTCAACTTGCCCCACCAGCACTTTATCCACTGAACCATTTCCCCAAGCCCCTGGGTAGCTTAAACTTATACAGACTGCTGTGCTATTCTAGAGTCAGTGTCCTTCTGAACATAGAAAGTACACTAGAAGAGAGAATCCAGGAGATAACGCCTGACTTGCACCCTCTTCCCCTAAGATCCACCTAAGCTCTGAACCTTTCTGAACTTCAGTCTCTTCCTCTGTAGTTGGACCAGGTGACTTGCCTCCTTCCAAGTCTCAGTTGTGTTCCACCACGTGTATCTATCTTCCCTGACCTCAAGAATTTGGGAAGGTCTACTGAGCACCTGTTGCACACCTCTGGATGGGAGTTTGCCATTCTACAATTTACTTGTTTTTGTTTTGTTCTGCTTTGAGACAGTGTCTCACTGTGTAGCCCTTGGCTGGCCTCGAACTCAAAGAGATTCCCCTGCTTCTGCCTCCCAAGTGCTGGGATTAAAGGCATGCACCACCACACCTGGCCTTACAATGAACTTTTAATTAGGAAAAACAAAAATCTCATCCTCTACCCTAGCCAATTCCACTCTGGCAGTAACAACCAACTACTTACTATGATGCCAAGTGACCTATTCCTCCTCCTTCTCTCTTACATCACTTCCTCTTACTCATGTCCCAAGATGGCTCTTCTCCCTTCCAGTCCCATAACTCATCCTTCTAGCCAGGTATGTCATGGAAGAAGAAGATAAGGGCCTACAGCCAGTTTGGGAAAACAGGAGATTGGCATTAAGGTCCTCTTTCGCCCTAAGGATGGCCCACTCTCCGGAGCACCGAGACTCCTTGGGATACATTGTCTTTCTTAGTTTCTCCACAGGTCGAAGGCCTGGGTTACTGCTAAGTTTGTTTCTTGCCCAGAGAAGACAACAAAGTTACCCCTTAGAAAGAACATCAGGGGAAGAAAAAGAAAGCGATAGCTGAGGCGCTGAGGATGGTGTGATCATAAGCAGGAAGGGCAAGACGCAGAGAAAAGAGCGGGGTGCGGGCGATGCCTTGGGGGGCCGCGAAACCCGTTCCAGGCGACTGAGACAAATCGGGGTGCAGAGCTGAGCCCCAACTGTGAGAAGCGCGAGGTTTGGGGACTGGGGTATGGATCCAGGCACCCCGAGCTCCACCACATCCCAGGTAGGCAGCAGCACCCTAGGGGCTGGGGCACCAGAACCCCGCCCTCTGACCCCGGCCCCCAGGACGAGCCCGGCCTTACGTGTTGTCCTGGTTGAAGTTGGCGAACAGCAGCTGGCCGGCGCCGGCCTCGCCACTCTGGCTCGCCAGGTTCATGGCTGCGCGCGCGGCGGGCTCGGACGTCCGCTCGCGGGAGCGCGCCTGGCGGCCCAAGGGAGCGCGCTGTACTCAGGGTCGGCGCCGGCTCCCGTTCGCCGCCACTCGCTGCGCGGGGTTCAACCGCCGCCTCATTCCGTCCCTGCTCTTGTTTATGCTCTGGAGCCCAGGCGGCCTGAGCGCCTGCGTAGCCCTGCCCACCCTCGCGGAGCAACGCGACGTACTGCGCAAGCGCACTGCATAGGCCCGCCTCTTCACCGCAGGGGCTGCCTGGGGTTTCCGGTCGAGTGCGCGTGCGTGGAAGAGAGCTGGCTGGTTGGCCGCCTGGTGGGCGCTGGGCGCGCGTGCGCGTGGCGGAGAGCGGCTCTTACCGCGTTGGTTCTCAGTCTCCGGTCCGTGCGCTGCGGGCTCGCGTGAACGGTGTTGGTGGGTGCGCCGTGCTGCCCAGTGTAGAGAATATAACTTCATTTTATAGATTTGAAAACCGAGCACTAATAATTTGCAGAATATTAGATCTGAGGCAGAAAACGCCCAGATTTCTCCAAGGGGCATGCGTTCAAGGTCTTTGGGACAGGCTTCTACCATAAATGTATTCACCCGTGCTGCAGTACACGAGGGGCCTTTTGCTCGCCCTCTCCCCTCCGTCCCTTTTTCCTTTCCTTCCTCTTCTCTCCCCACTCCTTCCCTCCTCTCTTCTTTTTCGTCCCTCCCTTGCTTTTTGCTTCCCCTTTCTTCCCCTCTCTCTCTCCCTTTCTCCCTCTCTCCCATCCTTTCCTTCCCCTTCCTTCTTCCTTTCCCCTCCCATTTTCCTTCCCTTTTCCCCCTTCCCCTCCCTTCCTGTTTCCTGGGGTTAGAACCCCGAGTCTCCTGTATGCTAAGCAACTATTCCCCCATTGAACTAGCCGCAGCTTTCTTTTAATTTATTATTATTTTGACAAGGGCTGCACTACCCTAGAACTCACTAGGTAGTCCAAGATGACCTTCAACTCTGAGGTAGGCCTGCAGCAGTCGCACAAGTGTGGGGATTGCAAGTGTGAGCCACCTTGCCGGCCTTTCACTTTTCATTTTGAGACAGGTTCTCGATGACCTTCGGCACCTTGAGCTTCCTCTGTAGCCCAGGCAGCCTCAGCTTCTCAAGGTGTGGAGATGATAGGCCTGAGCCACCAGACGGGGCTTGGGAGGTACTTTTCGGGAGAGAAAGAGGACTTCTTTGCCTTAGAGTAGTCATAATGGTGGGGGAGACATGGAACGAAGTATCAATACACCTGACTGGAGAGATGGCCCATAGGTTAAGAGCATTGGCTGCTCTTGCTGAGCACCTGGGGTTTTTTCCAGCACCCATCAGCTAACAACCGTCCTAAACTCCAGTTCCGTGGGATCCGACACCCTCTTCTGGTCTACAGATGCATCTACATACATGCAGGCAAAACATTCATACACATTTTTAAAATTAAGAAAAAAACTTTAAAGAAATATATGTACAAAGCCAGGACCAAGGGCTGGAATCAATTCTGCAAAAAAAAAAAAAAAAGAGCCTGGAACACAAAACAGCTGGTATTTGAGGTCACCTAACCCAGACTTGAGGACCAGGAACTACAGCCAGAGGATCCCCAGAAGAGATGAACCTTTTCAGCCCAAGGCAGTGAAAAGTCCCAAGGGGCAAAGGGCAGGCCTTTTTCTGAATGGATTTGACTGGGAACACAACACTGGGCTGAGACCCAGTCTCAGAAAACAAGACAGCTGGTGTGGTAGCAAACACCTTTAATCCTGGCCCTCAGGAGGCAGAGGCAAGTGGCTCTCTGGGTTTAAGGCCAGCCATGTCTACATAGTGAGTTCAAGGCCAGCTGGGGCTACAGGGAGACATGTGTGCTGTGATACAAGCCCACCCAACTCACACATCACACACACAAACACCCCCCACAATAATAATAGATTAAATTAAAAAGTTAAAAAGTCCTTTAATCCCAGCACTCAGGAGACAGAGGCGGGAAGATCTCTGTGAGATACCGGCCAGCCAGGTTCATATAGGGAGTTCCAAGCCAGCCAGGGCTACATAGTGAGGGCCTGTCTCAAAAAATTATAGTTTACTTTCTTTTTCTTCTGAGACAGGGTCTCATATATTCCAAGATGGCCTAGACCTGCATATCTAGCTAAAGCTGACCTTGAACTCATGATACTTCTGCTTCTACCTCCTGAATGCTGGGATTCTGTTATTCCTCTCAGCAGGAATTGTTCCATCAAGTATGAGATCAGTGATGAGTTTTCTCTGGATTCCATGTAAAAGCTGATGAAAGAACATTGAGTTCCCTGATAGTCTTTTCTGCTTGGTTTGGATGATCACAGCCATGGTGTTTCAAGTACTGTCGTCTGAGTACCTGAAAGGCTGACACAGGAGTATGGCAGATTTGAGGCCAACCTGGGCTACTGAAAGACCTTGCTTCAAACAAAATAATTGGATGATCATGTGGTTTTAGTGTTTATTACTATAGTACATTACATTTGATTTTTTATGTTGCTTTCTTTGGATAAATTGACAGTTGATCATGGGGTATGATATATTTTTTAAATTATTTATTTTATGTGTATGAGTGTTTTGCCTGCATGTATGTAAGTGCACCACCTGTGTGCAGTGCTCTAGAAGGCCAGAAGAGGGTGTTGGGTACCCTGGAACTGGACTTATAGACCGTTGTTAGCCACCTTGTGGGTGCTAGGAACCAAACCTGGGTCCTGTACAAGAGCAGCCAGTGCTCTTAATCACTGAGCCATCTCTCCAACTCCTTTGAAATTTTAAAAGTTGCCATTGGGGCTAGCGAAATGGCTCAGTGAGTAAAGGTGCTTGCTGTATAGCTTGAGGACCTGAGTTTAGTCCCCAGAAGCCAAAAGTTTTAAGAGAACCAACACCTGCAAATTGTCTTCTGACCGCCACATGTATGTTCTCTCTCTCTCTCTCTCTCTCTCTCTCTCTCTCAAAAAAAGATAAATCATTTTAAAAATGGTAGTTGGATTTTGTTTGCTGATATTTTGTTGTGGATTTGACATTCATGAGGAACAGGGGTCTCAAGTTTTGTTATATGTTCTTTAAAAAAAAATTTTTTTTTGACCGGGTGTGGTAGTACATGCCTTTAGTCTCAGCACTTGGGAGGCAGAGGCAGTTGGATCTCTGTGAGATCAAGGCCAGTTTGGTCTACATTGTGAGTGCTAGGTGAGCTGGGGCTACAGGGAGACCCTGTCTCAAAAATCAAAAAATAATTTAATTAATAATTAATTTGTATTATATGTGTATGGGTATTTTGCCTACATGCATATTAGTGCATCATGTTCTTGCAGTGCTTGTGGAGGTCAGAAGAGGCTGTTGAATCCCTTGAAATTGGAGTTATGGACAGTTGTTAGCCACAAATGTGGTTTCTGGGAACCAAACCCAGGTCCTCTGCAATAGTAGCCAGTGCTCTAAATACCACTGAGCCATCTCTTCAGCCCCCTTGTTTTTGTTTTGGGACAGAGTCTCACTGTATATCCCTGGCTGACCTGGAACTCACAGAGGTTTGCCTGCCTCCTCCTCCTGAGTGCTGGGAGTAAAGGTATGAGCCACGACACCCGACATTTTTTGTGCCTTTAAAATATTTTTTGAATTAGTTTTATTTTATGCGTATGAGTGTATTGCCTACATGTATATAAGTGCACCCATGTCATGCAATGGCTGCAGAGGTCAGAAGAGGGCATTAGATCCTCTGGGACTGGAGTTATGAACAGTTGTTAGCTGCCATGTAGGTGTTGGGAACCAAACCTGGGTTCTCTGCAAGCGTGGCCAGTGCTCTTAACCACTGAACCATCTCCCTAGTCCCTTTGTGCCATTTTTTTTTGAGACAGTGTCTCATATAGCCCAGGCTGGCCTCAAACTTCCTGTGTACTAAGGATGACCTTGAATTCCTGATCCTCTTATATCCATGCCCTCAGTTTTAGGGTTACAGCTCTGGGCTACCATGTCTTGTTTTCTGTGGTGCAGGCTGGGCAAACACTCTATTAAATAAGCCACATCTCTAGTCCCTGTGTGATTTTTAAAATTAAAATTATTTTATTTTATTTTAATTTACTTTTTTACTTTTTTAATTATTTATTTAATAGCCACATAATTAGAAGGAGCATTTCATTACAACAGCATTGACATATTCAATAACAATTTCCAGAGCTAAGATGCATCTCTTTCAAAATTGGCTGTAAATTTTTAGGTTTACAGTTGAATTAATACAGTTATACAATATTGTACTCAGTATAAACCCTATAAGACATAAAATTAAATGAGGTTTTAACCTTTAAAAAAGATCTCTATTTCATTATTAAAATACACAGTTTCATACAGAAAAATTCATTTTTAATGCATTTGATGCTAAGATTTTTGCACATGTGTTTCTAATCTCTATATATCTGATTAGTATTAGTCACAGTCGGTTACTTTCTGAGCTCCTTGGCATCTGAGCGTGGATATAAAGTCATCAGGTAGATTTCAATGGTAATGTTTTTCACATCTAATTATTAAGGAGCAAATTTTTATGCTTTGAAGAATTATTTTTTAAAATTAAATTTCATAACCACATGCTTAGAAGAAGCATTTCATTACAGCTTTAACATATTCAATAACACATTCTAGAGCAAGGATACATCTCTTTCAAAAGTGGCTATAGAATTTTTAGGTTCACAGTTGAATTAATACAGTTATACAATATTGAACTCAGTATAAACCCTGTAAGACAAAATTGAATGAGTTTTTAACCTTTAAAAAAGATCTCCATTTCATTTTAGAATATATTTTTCCGTGCAGAAAGACTCATTGTTTTTTCTACTAACACTGAGCTGTTGGCACATGCATCTCTAATCTGTGTGTATCTGATTATTACTAGTCATAATAGGTTGCACTCAGATCCTTGGTGCCCGTGTCATCGGGTAGATTTCAATGGTAATGTTTATCACCTCTACTAATTAACATGGCGTAAATTTAGCCTCTATGCTTCTTCCTCAAATATAATACATTTAAAAAAATTTGTTGATTTTTTTTTGTGTGTGTATATCACACAGAACACCCCAAACCATCTTATTCAACTATGCACCCATTTGCCAGATGGCAACCTCCCATAGCCTCCCTCCCCCAACTGGCGCCCTTATACTCTGTTATCCCTGCTACTGTCTGCTGTGTTGTCGGCAAACTCAGCCATT